AAGAACTGGGGCTTTGGCAACAAACTATTTCAAAATAAGATTTTCATGTATAATTTAGTCATTCCAAAGACAAACATTTTTTATTAATAAATTTAATGAAAATTTACAGACTTTGGATTTCCATTCATTCATTGTCGCACTTTTCTCCCTGCCCATCCTTCCCCCTCAGTTCATTCTTCTCTTTGAAAAGTAAAAGGAAAATTCTTTCACTGTTATACAATCCCTCCCCCCAAGTCCAGTCCACTATGCAGCCTTCGATCTACAGAGACTGGGTTTGGTTTGTTTGAAGAGACTGTCTAGTTCACAAATGTGAAGTCTAACAGCAAAGTCTCAGTTTCCCTGGGACCTATTCAATTCTCATATTCTTTTACCCATTGAGATATATGTACTATTACAGAAAAATTTTAATTTCTCCAGTGATAAAGCCCTAGTAGAATATAAAGGCTAAAATAAGCTTAAGCTGTATTTCTGAGAAATAAAGAAAAACAAAAAAGAGCAGTAAATTTTCAATGTATTTTCTTTAAATTTAACTAGAGTGAGTGACCCTAGAATGTGAACCTTTCTCCTTTTTTTCCTTCCGTTCTCTACTCCATACCAATAGTTAGAATAAACAAGTGTAATTGATCAGAGAAGCGTCTCAAGCAACTGTGAGGTATGTAGGTAGCACAGGGACAACTTGGATAAATTTCCTATCTGGTTTAGGGTTGCTTCAAGCTATTAAACAATTCTCAAGATATACCATGAAACAATGCCCAAGACATACAAAAGTTCCCTAACTGTATCTTAAATTCAAACCTACCTCTTCCTTCCCAGATCCCAAATTCACAACGTTTGTATTATTTTAATAAAATTCTTTCAGCACTGTTTTTATAATTAATCACATTAAAGAAGGAGGGGTTGCAATGAGAGCATAAAGGAAGACGTAATTGTTAAATTTGGGATCTGGGAATTGTACAGTAAATTGTGTTGGGTGTTACTTCAGTTTTTGTTTTCATTTTTTGCTGCTGTCACAGTACATAGAACATATACACACATACATACTGACAGCTTCACTCTTTTCTCCATTTACCAAGATGTGGCCTATTGGTACAGTGGTGAGGACTTCTGTTTTCTTGATGTTAATACAGCTATGAAGAGCATAGCACAACACCCTAAGCAAGGATCAGGGGAAGAACATTCTAAGCAGAGGAAACAAGAACCTGAGGGACAAAGACTGATGAAGCTAGTGTGTGAATTCAGCACATGGGGTCAGCAGATGAAGTTACAGGTGCTAGAGAACTGAGGGAGAAACCGAGCAGCAATTCAAGTACTCCAAGAGTATTTCTCTGGTCAATGAAACATGAAGAATAATGAACATGAATATACTACCAACAGACCTGGTACATCTTAAAAACATTTCATCCTCTTGCTTTTCTGTCAGCAAACTGATTATCAAGGGCCAGAAAGGTTTTAAGAATATACAATGGGAGACAAGTCATGGAGGTGCTTCTGAACTATTATTTAAGATATATAATTTTAGCAAAAAGAAAATATGTTTTAGAAAGAGCACTTCAACTTGGGGAGGGTTGGGGGAAGAGAGTAAACTAAGCAATAATGAATGGGTTGGTTTGTTGGTTTTTTTTTAAAAAAAAGCAAACTGGGGGGTGGTAGGGAAGAAAATGTGCAACAATGAATAAATAAAAAATCCAACTTTTTTGGTAAACTTTTCATTAAAATCACAATTGTGAGGGAGCACTTCAACTAAATCATTTTAAAAAAAAATGCAGCAGTGCTGGTCTACAAATCAAAGAGAAGAGAAGCAGCAAGGTGGTGCAGCCTGAACTTCTTCCTAGAAGACTGCAACAACTAACCAGTGTGGAAATGGAAAACCAAGAAGCAATGGACTCTTCTCAAACAGCCAAACAGAGGAGTTTCAGAAGGAAAATGGGTAAAACTTGAAAATATAACTTACATGGATCCTACTGGTAAAACAAGAACTTGGGAAACTGTAAAACCTACAACCAGGAAAGGACAGTCAGCCGATGTTGTGGCTGCAAAGAACTCTTCATTATGGATGTATTACTCTGGTTAAACAGTGGCTACTGCACAGACTTCCCTGCAGGTCTCATAGATGATAATGAAAAACCCAGAATTCTTTTCAGTTACATTTTCTTTTACTTCTAGGTATTCATACAGCCTGTTTCTTACTTTCTTTTTCAAGTCAATTTCTACTTTTTTTTTTAATTATTTTTTTTACTTTATTATTTTTATGTGAGTGTACCGTCAAATCAGATCTGACTGGTACAGGAGGAGATTGCTCCTCCTTCCCCGGCAGAGCATCTGGTGGATTTGAACCGTGCGCCTCTGGGATTGTAGTTGCAGCTCCTTGCCACTAGGCCACCAGAGCTCCCCATGTCAATTTCTACTTAAAAGCTTAACTAAGTGTCACTTTTCCTAGGAAGTTCTTCCCCAACAATTAAATTTATGTTAAGAATTGTACGTATTTCCACAGTACCCACCCACCTGTCCCTATAACCTTATTATACAGTTTACAATTTTCAGTTTACTTGTTATATATATTGGCTGTAGGTTTGAAGGGTGGCATCTTGTTCATTGTTATAATCTGGGTCTCTAGCTGAATTTAAATCTGACTAAAGTGAAAAGGAATGGCAAAGGACACACTGACAAAGAAGATTAATCAGAACTGGCTTTGACAAGCACTGTGGCATTTGGACAAGAACAAACTGGGAGGAGGGTAGAG